ACACATAGACCCTCTGACACCCACACATAGACCCTCTGACACCCACACATAGACCCTCTGACACCCACACATAGACCCTCTGACACCCGCACACATAGACCCTGTCACACACGCTCACATGAAACACCTCGGCTTTGTGACACAGGTCCTGCAGGACACATGTGAGACATTAGAGGAGTAATTGCCGGTAGTTGGACTCTGAGGTCCTGCTCGGTCTGAGACAGTCCGGGCAGCTGAGGTCATACTGTGCAAAACTCTAGCATATTGGCCTCTTTATTGTTCCCACTTCAGGCGAATGACTGCCAGACCTTGTTAGAGCCGCGCCAGGCCGCGATCTCGCCGTGCAGGAACGCATGTCAGCAGGACTTGGCGTGCGTCTCTCGTGTGGGTTTTATTTACATGCTTTTGCGTTGATGTCACCACAGCCCACGGACTGCGTAATTACATCATCTCTTAAAGCCATTACTTCACGCATTAGAAGTCCGACATGAAACTCCGACACGCGATCGGCCCGTGATGGGTAACGCAGACACGCAGGGGGTCAGACAGGCGTTCTGCATCACAAAAATCCATCATATAATCCTTTGCATCAGTGTAGTCAGAAACCCGATGTCTGGTACTAACAGAACATTCCATCAGTTATGTGTCACGGCAACCGGCAGATGGGACACTGTCTCCATGAGCCCTGGTCTGAAGGGTTAATGTCACAGGGGACCAGCGATGGTGACAGTGACACACTGACCCTGTCGTATTTACATCTACAGGATGCTGGAGGACGACTTGAAAATCAGCAGCGACGAAGACGACGGCGACCAGGTAGCGTGTGCGAGGGCCTGTGCACATGTCTGTGTGATCTGTGTGCGCGTCTGTTTGTGTGTCCCTAAGCATGTCCAGGTGTGCGTGTCTGTGCAAGTCTACATCTGTGTGTGTGTGTCCACGCGTATGTTCTTGTGCATGCCTGCATCCATGTGCGCATCAATGTGTGCATCTGTGTGGATTAGGGCATCTCTGATTTCCTGAGGCTGTACCAGATTCAGGGGTTGCGTGCAGAAAACTCAGTCATCGCCCTGCTTTGTACATATATTCAGGTGACCAGAGTGTGTGTGTGTGTTTGGCGGGGGGGGGGAGGATGGTTTGTTTAAAAAGACACACCCTACGCTCCCCCTTCTCTCTGCATTTTGACACTGGTGAAAAATGTTTGTTTACACTGTATTTTTTTCCCCACACTTTAATCTCTGCCTGTGTTCTGGGGGCTCAGATCCACACCTCTCAGCCCAGCAAACGTTCATTATTTATGAATCATGTGAGGAAATATGGCCATGTCAGGGCTGCAGATTGGCTGCAGTAATCAGGCTCTTTAAACGACCTGGCAAACTCTGCGTGCCGTCGCTCACTGCGTCCCCCAGAGCGGCGGGTTCACAGAGAGACAGACGAGTGCAATCGTGTTTCATGTGGGTTCGCGTTAATCCAGCAACGATTGACTAACACATGCAGAGTTTGCTGAAACACATATACGGGCAGTGGGGCCATCGTATGTCGTCTGAGTCAAGCTGGGGGGGAGGGTTGGGGGGGAGGGTTGGGGTGCCCAGCCCCCCCCCCCCCCAAAACCACAGCAGTCATCCTAGATTACAAGGGAAATGCACAGAGACTGAGTCAGAGCAAGCTGATAAGTAATCAGAAACTTCGGGTCAGGGGAATCTCTCGTCCGAGTCTCTCAGCCTTGGCCCCGGGGACAGGATAATTATGTCTCATCTTCCAGAATCTTCTCTCTGTATCAAAGAGAGCTCTCAGTCCAAACTATGGGTTTCTCTGCACTTTGTTTTGGCAGCAGCAGTTGTTTGTAAAGTGTTTTTCGGCTGCAGTGTGACTATCCATTTATTTAGGCTATTTTTATCTACAGCTTTAAGAGAGACGCGCACCCCCCCTTCCCCTGCAGATACGGCACGAACGCCTCGGGCTCTCCTGCCCCCAGAAATGCTTTTGGGGGGGAAACCCACCGGGATTCTGTAGCTTTCTAATAGGCCACTTCCCTCTGGAAGACAGGCGGCTCTACGTGGGGTATTTGCCCCTTTGAATGAATGACACTCGCCCAGCTGTACAGCCAGGTGGCGCTCTTGTGCGGTGACATGCTGGTGGTGGGCAGCCCTTCGCGTGTGTGAGATACGCATGTCCCAGCCTGGCCCCTCCCCCACTCCCCTCTTTTGCTTTAATGATAGTTACCATGTGCTGCGACCTTTATGCTGTTCAAGAAACTTAACATGAAGGTACTGGGGGGGGGGGGGTTCAGCCTGTTCAGATACTTGAGTGTGTGACTGTCTCTGTCTCGTGTCTGTGTTTCTGTGTGTGTCTGTATGTGTGTATCTGTCTGTATCTGTCATTGTGTCTCTCTGTGTGTCATCCCACATGCACACACACACACACACACACACACAGACCTGTACTCATATCG